CGATATTGTCAAAATTTCCCATTATCGGGGATATTTTCGACACTTTGATTTTGGTTTTACTCACAAACGGGTGATCTTTACGATGAATTGTTCAGTTACCACATTGATCATCATGCAAAAATTCCCCAAAAAATATTCAGAAACCAGAAATATATCAATATTAATTGATCCATATGTTTAAACACAAAAATTTTCATGACTAAAAAACTTGAACTTATGAAACAGCAAAGCCTCTCTCTTTTTTAAATTCATGATCAAGAGGGTGCGTCACGTTTCCATGGTTCCATTTCTGAAAGAGATTGATATAAATTTCGGAGAATTCTTTAATCACACTGAAATACTAATATATTAGAACACAAAAAATTTATTCTATGTTGGACATTATTTTGCTATAGAATCTAATTCCATTTTAAAAGTGTATATAGAAGCTGCGTCACGTATTTGAGAATATTTTTCTGAAAGGATTGATAAAAAATTAACAAAGAGGTTTTAATTATTGGAGATCATTAAAAATATATTTTATGCAGCTTTTATAATAATATAAAGAAAACAATTAAAAATTTATTCTAAAACCGGACATTATTTTCCGAACAGCAAATATTTAATTATTTTCCAGTATACACAAAGGGTGTGTCACGTATTTGAGAAACCCAGGAAGAAATTGATATAAAATTAACAAAGATGGCTCTTTAATAATTAGGATGAGGAATATATATTTTGTGCAACTTTTATAATAATATATCAAAACACAATTAAAATTATTCTAAAATCGGACATTATTTTCCGAACAACCTAAATCTATTTTGCGGTGTATACAGAAAGTGCGTCACGTATTTGAGAACAATATCCTGAAGGAAATTGACATAAAATTAACAAAGATTGCTCTTTAATCATTAGGAATGAGTAATATATTTCTGTGCAGTTATTAAAATAATATATTAGAACACAATTAAAAAGTTTGTTTTAAAATCGGACATGATTTTTTGAACAACATAGTACTATTCTTCAGTATATACACAGGGCGCGTCATGTATTTGAGAACCTACATTCTGAAATCAATTGATATAAAATTGACAAAGAGGACCTATTAATCGTAATGGATCCGTAATATAATTTTTTGCAAATATTATTATAATATATTAGAATACAAAACGTTTATAGCTAAAATCGGACATTATTTTTTAAACAACCTAATTCTATTTTCTAGTGTATTACAGAAAATACGTCACGTATTTGAGAACAACATCATGGAAGAGATTGATATAAAATGAACAAAGCGAGATGAATAATATATTTTTGGGCAACTTTTAATAATAATATATTAGAACACAATTAAAAGGTTTATTTGAAAATTAACAACCTAATCCTATTTTCCAGTGTGTACACAGGGTGCGTCACGTATTTGAGAACAACATTCTGAAGGAGATCAATATAAAATTAACGAAAAGTACTCTTTAATCATTAGGGACAAGCAATATATTTTTGTGCAACTCTTATAATAATATATTAGAACACAATTAAAAGGTTTGTTCTAAAATCGGACATCTACTCTCCGAACAACCTAATACTATTTTCCAGAGTATACACAGTGTGCGTCATGTATCTGAGAACAGAATCCTGAAAGGGATTGGTATAAAATTAACAAAAAGGGCGCTTTTTGAATAATAAGGAATAATACATTTTTGTGCAGCTATTACGAAAGTATGTTGCAAAGATCATAGGCTTACTATGAAGGGTTGATGCGAGAACCGTGAAATCTTGCAGGCATTCATTTCAACTCTTCTTATTAATAACGGCGTTGGTTGCTCCCATGTGATCTGATTGTTGGATGAAGGATTCAAAAGTAACTTTTCCTCGTAGTGTTATCAAGTACCTGCAGTAAAAGGGTTTAGACTCCAAGGACATTCATGCTGAGATAGTTACTACATATTAGCATATCCCGTGAGAATATACTGCACAATGAACTTGACATGACGATTGTTTCTGTACGGTGGACGCCTGACATTGTTTCGGGCAGATCCAGCTGATTTCCTTCAATGTTTCCTAACCCATGATAAGTATCGGATTCATCCCTTTGAGCCAGGGAAAAAGAGACAATCCATGCAATAGAAACACCGCCTTACCTGCATCAAAGTCTCCGGACCACATCCCGGGAAAACCTGACATTGTTTGAGGCAGATTCAGTTGATTTCTAAACCATGATGAGTATGTGATTCATCACTTTGAGCCAGAAAAAAGAGACAATCCATGCAATAGAAAAATCCTTACCTGCATCAAAGGGCAATGGTCGTCATCTCCAGGGAAAAACCTTCATTTTTATGGGATGCAAAAGGGGTTAATTAAATAAAAAAGGGGCCACGCCATCAAGAAGTTAACAATACCGACTTGTTGAAGGGAGAGTTAAAAGGCTATCAAGATCAAACTTTCTTCAAAAATGATATATCCTGGGTGCCGAAGCTGATCACATCAGGCGGGAAAATCTGAAATTGTTAGAGGCAGATCCAGCTGATTTCGTTCAATGTTTCCTAAATGATAAGTTTCAGGTTTATCACTTTGAGTCAGAGACAATCCATGCAGTGGAAAAACCCTCTTTACCTGCTCCAAAGAAGGTCAAGGTCGTTTCATATGCAGGGAAGGTGATGGTCTCAGTTTTATGTGATGCCAAAGGCATTGTGTTTATTAAATATATTCAAAAGGACCACTTTCCGAGCAACCTAAATCTATTTTGCGATGTATACGGAAGGTGCGTCACGTATTTGAGATTCCACGTCAAAACAAGGACAAAAGTCCATATAAAGATTTGTCCGCAACTCCTTCTTTTCGAGTTAAGTTTAAAGAAAGTTTACCGGAGATGGCGTTTTGTTGCAATGTAGACAAGGTTACATTTCTCATTCGTGTACATTCCACCGTAATTTAAAAAGAAAATAATTCTTTACGTAGAAAGTGAGGGCCTACTAATGATAATATTAACAAACAGTAAGCCCACGTCAAAAATATTTTATTACATCACCAACCTTGGTTTCAGTTACTTATCTACGTGTTTGTGTCTTTGAACGGTTTGATAATAAATATATATATGTTATATATATATATATATATATATATATATATATATATATATATATATATATATATATATTTGGTTGGATAGATGTGAGTTTGTGACCCTGGGTTTCACGCTTTAGCGATCGTCAGACAAACTGATTAATGTTTTAAAAAATTTGGGTTTATGTAGATTGCGTGTATTGGTGTTATTGTGGAAGTGGTGGGGGAAACTTCGTCGTTTTGTCATTCATCGTACTAACGCAAACATCGATGTATGCAGACACATATACATACTTGGTCGTCTGTCGGGACTTATAAATATATAAACATATGTGGGGCAGTTTTGGCTATGACATATGTATGTATATGGGTGGTGTTATGTCTATACATTTGTATGTTGAAATGTTGAAATTTAAACATTGGAAGTGTGGCGGAAATGTCTCGTTAATGTCTCGTGATGGTATATATGTCATTTTTAGTAAAATTTTGTAAAATATTTTATTTCCAGTGAATATATCCATATAAATTAAGGCTATTGTAAAATTCCGCGACTTCGTGAGGAGAAAGTCCCAACAACGTCGTGTAAATAGTTACATGTGTCATCTCAGAAATACGGACAGATCTTGACGAAGGCCTGAACGTAAAACGTCCGAAACGTTGTGAATGTGACAATAAAAATGAGGATTACATTTATTGAACAAAAAATAGTCAACAACATACAATACCTCATCTCATTTTGCGATGGATAAATTGTCGTCCTTTATATTTTTAATTTTTATATACCATTGTTTGTTTTGAGCACCACTGCATAGAAGGGTCGGGTCAGTTGGGCAGTATTCTGTGAGAAAAGAGCACCATGACGCAATTCACTCAGCCATGAATTTGGAAACGGTATATTGTATTACTTGGCATTCGGATAGAAGTGCGAATATTCAGTGTTTGGGTGTTAATCTGAGGACAGTGCAGAGGATTCAAGAAGAGTTGGATGAGTCTAATTGTGATTACGAAGGTGTTTGGTGTGATCACTAGTAATGACGACGTTATGCCCCCATTCTTCTTCACACTGGGCCTCAGAATCATTTAAGGCCTGGTGAGATACTTTTGTTCTTTGTAAGAGGGTATTGTTAAGACCTTATGTCGAGCAACAGGATTCTGCACCATGCCACACAAGCAGGAGACTTTTTCTTCATGCTTGTCAGGCAATTTCTTATTGGGAGTACATATAGCCACCTAACTCCCCAGATTGCAAAGCACTTGATTATTATGTGTGGAACCCAGTTGAGTGAGATGCCAACAAAACTCTTTTTAATGCCAAAGATGAAGTGAATGCAATGATTATGGCAGCATTCACCAAGTTGAACACGGAAGCCATCCAGAAGAGTTTCAAGAGATTCCGAAGTCGTTAGGAAGCCGTGGTTTAAGCCAATGGCGATTGTATTGAATAAATTTACTCTTTACTATTAAGATATTTACTCTTTACTATTAAGATATTTTTGTGTAATTTTGGTAAATATATGTGTTAAAATGAGAAGCCAGTGTTATTTTCATTTCGGTGTCATTTAGACGACAATTTAACCATCGCACGCTGTATATCTGTTAAAATGAGATCAGTGTTATATTCATTTCGGCGTCATTTCGTCGATAATTTAACCATCTCACCCTGTATATCTGTTAAAATGAGATGTCAGTGTTATTTTCATTTTGGGCGTCATTTAGACGACAATTTATCCATCGCACACTGAATAAACTGATGATGATGATGATGATGATGATGATGATGATGATGATGACTAATATCCATAATTTTACACTTTTACGCTAATCACTAATAGTTTTAACGAGTTCAACATTGGCACAAGGCAACATTCTCGATTATGACCATGACTATTAAACGGCTTTCGGGGTCAACACATTAACACCTATATTAAAAAGTCTTCATTAATTTATTTGTACCTATGGGACCAGTTGTGGGCAGTGTTGTGTTTCAAGGGTGGGGGGCGTTTTCATGGCTTGTGACGCCATGAAAACTGACGCCTCCTCACCCCCAAGAATCTGCTTTTCAAACCGTGGCCTGCTTTATTTGCGCACCCCTAGACTAAAGCTGATAAAACGTCGCATACGATGAGTACTCGACAATGGTGGAGATGGCTTTTAATTGCATGCGCGAACAACACGCAACAATGTCGAACTTCAGTAAACATTTAAGCAAAGCTTTTAAGAATCTTTGTAACACAAAATCGGTTTTATATATGTGCGTATTATATTACTATCTACAATCCTATGTCTATTTAGAACTTTGATGTCGATGGAAAGCAGGGAGTGGGTTCATTCTTGGCGGGTCCTGTTAACATTTGGCTATGATTTGGATGTTGGACAGAACATTAAAGATCATTCATTGCCAAAGTGATTTGCTTTGATTCCAAGGATCAATACTGAACAATATGATAAACTCTTTCCCAGCCTTCTATATTATTTCTATTTCTATCTCTTTCCTTCTTCGTCGCTTTTTTATTTGCTTTCTCTCACCTTTTTTTTTTTCCTAATTTCTTTAATTTTTGGCACTTTCGGGTCTCCTTTTTCTTCCTCTTTGGATGTGTTACTCTCTTTATCTCTCTTTCTGTCACCCTTCTTATTTGTATATTATCATTTTCTTTCTATATCCCTTTCTATATCTATTGCTTATTTTCGTAATTCTTTCTTATTTCTATAATTTGTAATTCCTACTTTCACTTTCATTTTCACTATCTTATTTGAAACGTATTTTTTCTTTTTATCTCTATTTCTTTGCTGCTTCTTATTTGTATATTATGATTGTCTTTCTTTATCTCTTTCTATATTGTTTTTTTGTTTTCTTTCTTATTTCTTTTTTTTAATTCCTACTTTCACTTTCATTTTTCCTACTTCGCTTTCTTATTTGAAACGTATTTTTTCTTTTTATCGCTATTTTTTTCTGAAAATTTTATATTATAATTAATTGATTTTATCTGCTTTTATCTCTATTTTCACTCTTTTTATCTATTTTATACATTTTCATGTTTCTTTCTTATTTCTATAATTTGTAATTACTAGTTTCACTTTCATTTTCACTTTCTTATTTGAAACGTGTTGCTTTCTTTTTATCTCCCTTTGCTGCTTCTTATTTCTATATTATAATTGTCTTTCTTTGTCTCTTTCTATATTGCCTGCTTTCGTGTTTCTTTCTTATTTGTATAATTTTAATTCCTACTTTCACTTTCATTTTCACTTTCTTATTTGAATGTTTTTTTCTTTTTATTATCTCTTTTCTTTCCTCCTTCTTATTTGTATATTATCACTGTCTTTCTTTTTATCTTGGGATATCTCTATAATATCTATTTTTTATCTTCTTTACATTTTAATTTTCTTTCTTACTTCTATAATTTGTAAATCATACTTTCACTTTCATTTTCACTTTCTTATTTGAAAAGCTGTTTATGTCCTGTCTCTTTTCTTTCCTCCTTATTTGTACATTATCACTGTCTTTCTTATACAATTTGTACGATTTTTAAACTCTTTTTTATCTCTTGTACATTTCGAAAATATTCTTATTTCTATAATTTGTTATTCCTACGTACATTTTCAATCTCACTTTATTATTTGAAACGTTGTTTTTTCTTTTTATCTCTCTTTCTTTCCTCCTCCTTTGCATATTATCATTCTCTCCTTTTATCTCTTTCTTTTTTTTTCCTTTCTTTTTCTATGCTTTTGTTACCCCCTCTCTCTCTCTCTCTCTCTCTCTCTCTCTCTCTCTTTCACTTTCGATAATTTTCGTCTCTCTTTTTTATTTATATATTTTATTTTTATTTACTTAGTATTTGAAGCCCTTTTCTTTTAGCTCTCTTACCTCTTTCTCATTTACATATCTCTCTCTCCTCTCTCTCTTTTCTCGATCGTTTTAGATCTTGCGTTCAATCTTTTTTATCCATAAAAAAGTTTTATTTCTCTGTTTTCTTATATATTGCTCATTGTCTTTCTCTCTCTCTCTTGTCTCAGTTTTTACACACACACACAGTCACACACACATATATCTCTCTTTTTTCATAGTTTCACTTTTTATATCATTATCTCTTTTTTTCCCTTCTTCTTTGTATCTATTCTTTGTCTCTTTTTCTCTCTCTCTCTTCCATTTTGTTGCAGTTTTACTCTTTACCGCTTTTATTTCTCCTTTTTTTGAAGTTTGTTTTCTTTTTATCCTTTTTTATTCTCTATCTTTTTTGTATCTTTCTTTTCTGTCTTTATCCCTTCCCTTTATTCTCTTTGTATCTCTTCTTTGGGTCTTTATCACTTTTATTTTCTCTCTTTCAAAATCAGAATATTCTATTTTTATATATATTTTTCTCTCTTTATCCCTCCCTATTTATCTTTTCGTTTTTTTTCAATCCTGTTTTCTCTTCAAAATCTTTTTCATTGTTACGGATCTTTTTTTTCTTCTTCATCCATTTTCTCACTAACCCCAAAGAGAAAAATTCTTACCCCCCTTTTTTCACTCTTCACTCCTCCCTTCTTCCCTCTTCACCCCTTCTTCTAAAGTTTTTTTCATATCACTTTTTTTCTCTTCATCCTATAAACAAATTGTTCACATTCTTTTGTGTTCATTATCCTATTTCAAATAAGAGATAATTTATCCTTTTAGAAAAAACAAATCCTCCCTTTTTTTCCTTTGATTTTCACCCCTTCCTTGTCCTTTTCAATAAATTTCTCTCTTCATCCTCCGTTTTTAAAAAACCAATCTTTTCTGTCCATTACATTTTTCACTCTTCAAAAATAAAATGAACTCTTCATTGCCCTTTTTTCTTTTTTTCAATTGCCTTTCAAATTCTTAATATTTTTTATGTGGAAAAAAATAAAAAAAAAAGTAAATAGCGATTGATCCAATTCAATTCAAATTTTGGAGATTAAAGTTATTTAAAAAACATGGAACTGGAATTTATACAAGGATGAAAAAACGAAAATTATATTTTTAGCATAGAATTTAAAATACATCTAGCAAGCACAACTGGAAATTAATGATCTGATTCCCTTCAGTCTAGTGCAGGGCTTAAAGTCTGTTTAGCTACCCTATGTTATGGGATATTCATTATTAATTTATTTAAAAAGAACTATTAACATCAAAATAAATGAAAAAGGGCGGTCCTTCATCTGTGAAATTTTAACCCTTAGCTTCCACAAATATGACCAAACAACATCAAATCATAAACTTTCTAAAACCATTCTTACGACATTCATCTCATTGTCTCTAAGGGAAAGTCCTAACTTTTGTCCTCATTATATAATCATTGTCTGTAGCCGGAGGAATAAAAAACAATTTAAAAACTAGCCCCAATTTGTGTTTTATTTTACAATATTTAAAAAATTATTTTACAAGAAACTAAACAAAATAATTAATGAACCACCCCGCCCCAACTGACAATCATAATTATGGCAGTTACATTTTTTTGGAGAGATGTGTTTTTAATGATATAAAATAGATCATTCATCCCAAACACTCACTCAAATACACACTCATTCAGACACAACACATACGAAAATCACGCTAGAAACGAAAGGCGGCCCGCATCCACCAGAGAACTGACATCACTGACCACCTAACGAGGGAGAGGTTGGGGAAGAATTCATTCGAACAATTACTTTAAAAGTACTTATAGAAAAGACACAGAGATACAGCCTTACGGTGGGAAATTAACGGAATCCGAGCTGCCAGATCAGGATTAATAATTTGTATTTGGTTCTTCTTTGGGCACTTTTTAATTTTATATATGTCTATAGAAAGCAAATTTTAAAAATATTTAAAAATATATTATTGGAGAAATTAAATCAAAAGATTTAATATGTGTGAATTTAGCCAGTACTTAACAGTTAATAATTAATTCAACCTGAATACATTCCATAAATGTGCCTTGCCATACAGAATAAATAAATCTAATAAATAAATAAAAAAAAATGAAAGAATGTTTTAGGAAAAATATATAAGTGGCAGATGGAAATTGATTGGCTCGAAGAAAGAAAATTTCAAATGGATTAAATTTCGGCATTATCTAAAGTTCTTTGCCTAAATAACTAAAGCAGATAAATTTCTGAAGAACCTGAATATTAAGGATATCATATTTTTCGGAAATGAAAATGCTATTGCCGGAATATGATTCATCGAGAGGAAAACGTGCTTTTAATTTGTGAGATAACGATAAAAGCTTTATCAACACAAGTTTTGCGCAAAATGTAGAACATGTACATTCCATCTCTCTCTGTCTCTCTCTGTCTCTCTGTCTCTCACCCACTTTCATTTTCCTCTTTTTTTTCTATTTGACAATTAATCTAATAGGGATATCTAATATATATATATATATATATATATATATATATAATTATATATATATATATATATATATCAAAAAAATACCTGAAAATTTTGTCTTGAGGATTAAACAAATATTGATACTTTTAATTCAATTTAAGTTTAATAATTATGTTGATTTTTTTTTTAAGAATTCTTTTGGAAACATGAGAAATTGGTTAGGGAAGGAATCAATTTTTTTTTTTAATTAATATATATATATATATATATATATATATATATATATATATATATATTTTACATTAGTGTTGTTTATTATAATTTATCTATATAGATAAAAATAGTTTACTCAAGAAATAAATAATTATCGTTCTACTATCATTTCTTCTTTTGGATTAATCTGCAAACGTTAGATTTCGTATATTACATTCTTTACTTTCAGTTCTCATTGCATCAGATATATATATATATATATATATATATATATATATATATATATATATATATATATTACAAATTTTATCATATAGACAAAAACAATTTACTCTAAAAAGAACATCGTTTCAAAAATTTCAATTGCACCTCGACTGGTGAGATCCAAAATGGCCATGAAAAATTATGTTTGTAAGCAAGCCGTATGTGAAA